ACTGATCTGAATCATCAAGATTTCCGAACTGGAACAATTGAATTCGCCTTCCCAAGGATCGCTTTGAAGCGGGTCACACAAAATTCAAACTATCGTACGTGACTAGTCAATGAGATGCTTTGTTAGATAATTTTCTTATTCAATCTTTGTTCAATTCTTAAACTTATAAACTGATATATTGATTTTTCCCTGGATATGACATTAATATATCAAATATGTTGTCTTCAAAATGCATTATTAGAGAATGTGATGTATGTATAGATGAGAGGACAACAACCCAATTTTACTAGAGAAACCACAGTTAATATTCAGAGGTTACATAACGTTTGAAAAATATACAAAGATATACAAATATATACCTGACAGCAATAACAAATTTCAAACTACGCCCAAACACTTGTATGGTCAAAAATTGCTGTTTTTTTTCGGTTATCGTTTTGTCATTTCAATTCATCGCCTTATGATTTTAGTCCTTCTCTTTCCTAGCTACTTTATACTATTTGTAGACAGAGGCATACACATGTGGAGGGGTTAAATTTGGTGTGTAAGCACTTCTTTTAATATCAATCAGCGGAAGCCAAAGATAAAGGGATACAGATAAAACGCATAATAAAAAAATCAAATCAGAAAAGGCACTTAATTTACGAACATCGACATTTCCGAGTAATAAAACACAACAAAATATAAAAGTACTATGTAATAGTGTGTCAAAGAATATCGCATTGAAACTGAAAACAAGCTGAAAGTACTTGATCTTTTAATTGTGAATTCATGTACCCTTATACGTATGCTTTATATCTAATATATATCATATGCTTAAAAATTTAAAAGCCTCCCACAATATGATTTTCTATACTTATAAGATAATACCGATTACATTTTTATGTCTATTTATTGATATGGTATCTTTCGATATTTTGAACGACAAACAATGCAAAAAGAACGGATGATATTTCACTCATAATACCATACCGTCCCGAAAGACTTTTCAATCCTTGTTATGTTAGTTATAGAACCATCGTGGTTTTATTATCTTTATCAAAATGTTAATCGCCATGACTAGGACGATTTTGCTGTTAACTTTTATAATCAGTCAGTTATTCATTAAACGTAATCAATATCTCACACAAGTAAATCATTGCCTGATGATGTACATGGGGAAAAAATATCACCAACGCATGACTTTTTCAATATAAAAACTTTGCTGAAGGAAAAATGAAAATAGTTAAACCATTGTCGTGACGTCAGCCTATTCATTTACCGTGGATTCTTTTTCTAGAATCAACGCTTTCTAAATCTGTCGCTGAAATGGATTCACCAAATTATATTCAATTGTTTCCTTTGTGTGCCTAATTTCATTAAGTTTGAATAGCTAATTTACTGATTTCTGTTCACTAATGGAATTAATTAAAAAACTTACCTTTAATTTTTGTAATTTTTATTTGCCTTCACTGGGGATGATCGAACCCGTCCTTGAAATCTGTTATGTGTGACTGACATCAACATATCGACGAAACATCTCGGCTACCAATTGGTTACAATTTAAATGTCTATTTTATATATATAAATGAACATATGATATACATCTGTACAACGCACACACAGGGCTTGTACCTTTATATATACATAAAAGGCAAATCGTATAGTATAAGTTGGTAGCCGCGAGGTTAGCATGGTTAAGATCAAAAAGTTAAAGAGTCAAGTTAAAGGTAGGGACTTGTCGGTTTAGGTTCGAATCCCTGTATTCTCTTTGTTGACCCTATTCTTTAGTTTTTCTATTTTTTCTTATTTTGTATGTAATTGTGGATATTTTTGAAATAATAGTGAGTTTTACCGTGGTTTTTTTTAATTATTATTGGCTATTTCACATATGTGAAACGAAAATGATTACATTCAATTTGTCCATTGTTGTTTTATAGATACATGTATATAGTAAGATTTCATCTGTTTTACTACATAATTTTACAAATGTTTATTCGCAAATTCCTATGCGAGTAAATCGTGATGTGCCTAGAGTTAGGCTTCTTGCTAGAAATTCCGGTAACCTACTTATTATATATTACTTTATATCTGCTCTTTGGTCAGGTTGTTGTTTCTTTGACACATTCCCCATTTCCATTCTCAATTTTATTAGAAATAAGTTCGAATATATCTTATTTTGTAAACACAGATAATATTCAGATGCCTGATAATTTAGAGACAGACGTGTTATGTTATATTTGTATTTTTCTAACCAAATAGTTGTGATCTTCTATTTAGTAATGCATCGTTGAACATGATACCATGGTTATTTAAACTCACTTACAATACCTTCTAATTAAGAAAAGACTTTAATTTTGAAAAGACATCAACACAATAGTTTAAGTAATAGATACAATGGATAAGCGTTGATTCATGAAGAACAAACCATTCGCCCTCCGGGCTCATGGTTTCTTTTTCAAGAATCAACGCTTATTCATTGTATCTATATTACATAATCCTGGTGCAATACCAAGAGACCTCTTGAGTTTGTAAACGCTATAATTTAAGTTTAAGATGGCTAATTAAATGATTTTAAGTACTTTTAATTAAGTATTAGAAAGGTAGATAAATCATAAAATTTAGACGTAATGTGTATAAATTTTAATATATATATAAATAGTTCATAAACAAATACAGCCCATAGCATAAAGACAAAATGCAAAGATTTTGTTATTGTTATGTGTACATGTATCACGTTATTGTATTGCTGTCTTAGTGATGTCCAGTCCCTAGTCCCATCTTATTTTTACACAGCAAAAGTCAAATTTAAGACAATACAAAGCCAATGTGATTGAAATACAAATTATTTATCCACGATTCGCTTACAATGGTCTGACAATAATCCTTTTAAGACCTTTCGGGGTCTTCTGGTTTTGTCGCGATGACACATACCTCCAAAAAATTGGAAAGCTGAAATTTCATTGGCTGATTTCAGACAGAAAGCGGGATGTAGTATTGTCAAATCCTTGTGAGTAAAGCATGGACACAAGATCTGTATTTAAATCATATTGATACTAAGCAAATCAATGATATTTTTTGCGTTTTTGATCCAAAAAAAAGTTTAATTTTTTGTCCGAGTTTTTGCGAAAATCAGAGTTGTAAAAAATCAGTCATGCCGTAACTACTTTTTTCTTGGTATTTGTATACGACTCCGTATTGTTTGATTAAACTGATAGATATTTTTTTCAATTTATCTTTATGTTGATTACAGATACAGATATATTTTTTTCCAGATAAAGTGCAGTCTAGAGCAAGAGAGATTTATGAAACAGAATTACGGACGACATTTATCATCTTGAAAATTGTTTACAAATTTGATTACCATCTATTTTGTCGGAGGAAGTGGTATAGGTTTAATTAATTAAATACTATAGTACTGACAGTGATATGGTGCCTGGTTCAATAAAGATGATGCATTTTTTACTATTAGAACATCCACGAGGACTTTCATTACCTTGTTTTATACTCGAAACGTTCCGAATGAAATTACTGGAAGCACGCATGCACATATGTGTAATCTATTACTTCCATAAATCTTCCCAATTACAGACGAGAACACCTTATTGTATTTCTCCAATTTTACTTTTTTATATCGACTTTTTAAAACCAACTGCTTCAAATGAATCAAAATAATGTTTGAATCAAGAAGTATCAAGTGTAAATAAACAAATAGCATTCTAATGTTCACTCACACAAACTCTAAACATTTCACTATAGCTAGTTACGGGCATGTACTACCTAAGATTAATGATTTGAAAATATGCTAGCCTACCTTGAAATCGTAACAATTAGACAACCCCAACAAGTATATCATATTGATGAAAGATTTTCAACGCTTTTCGCTTAAAAGGTCCCAGTAATAAAGGCCAGCGGTTAAGCTACTATTCGTTCTAGACCCGAACTCACTGGTACTGAGTCTTTTATTTCCAAGCACGCTTTCAATTCATAAAAGGATTTTATGTACGCAAGAAGTATTCTTTGTCACTATAAAATATTTTTTACTATATTACGTAGAATATTTTCCCACGAGACTTTGTCTGAAAAGTTGAAAATGCATATACATCTTTTTTTTATACAGAGATTTTCATAATTCTCAGTATTAGTTGTGATTGATGGTCTTGTCTAACAAAAACCTCATCAAAGATACCAGGCTTATAATTTGTCACGCCAGATGCCTATTTCGTATGCATAAGATTTATCAAGTGCTCAAATTAAAACAGCTTGAAAGCAAAATCAAATACAAATACAAGAGCATTAAGTGCCAGTCTTTGTAAGAAGCAGGCACTTTTGAAAAAAAATCAAAAACATGGCTGGAAAAAAAACCCACCGACCTAACCACCCTATTTTGAAGTAACCCTCATCCTGAGTTATAAATGGTAGGTCTTTTGTTTCTGCGAGTCTGGTAATTCGAGAAATCTCTAGATAACTTTTGGTTAGAATCATTGCAGTTACGGAGAAAGCTCCCCTTAGATGTTAATTTCTAGTGCATTTCAACCAAATTATATCTTGAATTACCAGAACAGGAAGAGGAAACGAATGTTATATTCGTGCTCAATTATACATTTTGAACATTAATTAATGTTAACTTGAGTGGGTTTTTGTTTGTCATGTTTTCGCCACTGCCTGATTCTTAGGTAGATTGGCACTTAAAAACAATAACGGCTTAAAAGGTGAGCCGTATACCGTTAAAGGGTAGAAAATTCTTACAGAAGTGATGACTATTGGGCTACTGATACATTGTACCATCTGGGACGAAACGTCCATTAGCAGTGACATAGACCAAGTGGTTGTAAAAGCTCATCAAAGATACCAGGTTATAATGTGTTAAAAATGATGGAAAGCTTAATACTTTTATTTAAATTCATTGGTTAATGTTCAATTTTCAGGGTTTTTTTTCAAAATAGAGAAACTGTTATTAAAACATCTCGTTAGATCGCTATTAACCGTTAGTTGGTATACACAGTGCAAAAACTGTTTACCTGACATTAATTAGAAAATTCCAGGAATCACTAGTGTAGTAGTAGTATTAGTCACTGGTAGCTGTTTATCTGTTTTCCACACCGACATCAATCAGGTAGTTATACGAATCACTGAAAGTGAAAATAAGACTTGAAGCATATTGTCAATTGTTCATGCAGAGTATAAAGAGCATGATAACCCTTTCCATTTTTTAACGTTAAATCTCGGAATATTCAGAACAACAACTGTGAAAATATAAGATAGATAGTAAGTAAGACAAGACCGGTTCCACTTGTGGAGAAGTTCCTAGTACCCTTTTCGGAGCACTTGATATAACAGTATTTGGTTGGGTTCGTTTCACTCAGTCTTAAGTTTTGTATGTGGTGTTTGTCTTTTCGTCGTCTATCCTTTTTATGCCATGGCGTTGTCAGTTTATCTTCGACATATGTGTTTGAAAAAAGTAAAATCACAAAAAATACTGAACTCCGAGGAAAATTCAAAAAGGAAAGTCCCTAATCAAATGGCAAAATCAATAGCTCAAACACATCAAACGAATGGATAACAACTGTCATATTCCTGACTTGGTACAGGCATTTTCTTATGTAGAAAATGGTGGATTGAACCTGGTTTTATAGCTAGCTAAACCTCTCACTTGTATGACAGTCGCATCAAATTCCATTATATTGACAACGATGTGTGAACAAAACAAACAAAAACAATAAGTAAAAATGTCACAAATAGGGGTAAATAGTCTAATTCGGTAGGTCACATTCGTGAAAAGGGAACGGGATTGTAGTTACGACATAAGGAACATATCCGATATCATCTGTGAAACGGATATTCCATAACGGTCAACGAACTCGTGATGGCGTCCGTAAAATTTACAAAGTGATGATTTCAACTTCACCATTTTGGAACTCTTGGTTTAAAAATGAAAATTCACAATTGGGAAGCTGAAATTATCTCTTTTGTCGTAAAGTTTTGTTTTCAACCGACCCTCATAGTCAATTTCTAGATATAAGTCATAATCAAATGGCAAAATCAAAAGCTCAAACACATCAAACGAATGGATAGAATGGGACGTCCCCTTGCTATATTCCGTTTCTTTTTTACAGGTTTTTGCACAAGGTTTAGTTACAAAAAAACGGAAGATACACATTTTTATTTTATTTTCTGCATGTAATAAATGTATTAGGATAACACCGGAACGGCAAATTTAAGCACTTGATTTAGATAACCGACATGGATGCTTCCTTTATAAAATAAAACCTTCGTGGCCACACCGCCTGCATTCTGTCCAGCGCCCTAGACCACTTTTATATAGTCTAGTTGGTCTAGTGGTCTGGGGCCCTGGACACAGTGCAGGCGGTGTTGCCACGATGTCTCAGATGCAGGGGTTCGAATCCAGCTAAGGGAAGAATAAAAATTTGCTAACGCAAATTCGCAGATCTAACATTGTTGGGCTAAATTTGAGACGAAGTATATATAAATCATGGTGTTAGCCCTGTATAACCACAGGTTATCCGATTGAGAACGTCTGTATTAAGTTGTCACATATTTAGACGTGTGTATATATATATATATATATATACAAGTCTAAATTGAAAACAACGTTCAAACTTATGATTGCGTTGGATAAAAACCGCAATTTTTATACGTGTGCATGCAAAACAAATTTCTTTGTAGAGGGGTCTAAATACAGCACAAACAACATTTTCCAAAAGACCAAAAAAGTGAAAAAGTATATTTTAACAAAACGCATTTGACTAGCAGGTCGAACAACGGATGTTCTTAAACCCTGCTGACTGCCATGGCGATTGCCAAATAAACGGATCACAGATGTAACACAATGGATCTTAATTATATTAATTTAATACCAAACAGAAAACAATAAACTTGCGGAAAAGATGGTATATCGCAAACATGAGGTGCAAAAATTTGTACACCATATCCGGATTTCGACAATTAATGTCTCTTCAGTGATGTAAGGAATCGAAACGGTATTTGGAAGGCCATATAATTTACCTCAATTTGGGATTGACTCTTGAATTTTGAAGAGTCGAAAAAGGATGAACGGATCATATAAACCCGAAGGCAAATATAATACAAGCCCAAACGAAAAAATATAAACAAGTCTATATATATATATATATATATTTAGGTAAACACAATTTGTAAATATCCCATACAGCAAGCTAGGTTTACATGTATCACGAATCATGCTCAGACATTTCGAATTATTACCAGTTAAATTTCAGTTACTCTGGAATCACAAAAAGAATCGTCAAACTCTTTAGGTATGTCTTCACAGAACCAAATAGTATGTAGAAAGAGATAAATCAAACTTTAATTAGCATGACAAACTTCAAAATGAAAGATTAATAAAAGTCCAATAACTTTCAAACTGCAAACAGTGGAGGAATTTTCGTTAAATGACCTTACATGGATTCAATGATTGTCCTTTTCTTAATTTTCAATATTTCAACATTCAAACATGATACTCTATATTAAAATCTTTTTTTTTTTAGTTTATCCAGTTACTAAAACGTATGGTATTACATTATGTAAATACTTGTTTTTTTGGCATTGCACATGATCATGCTTATGCGGACAGCTTAAGCTTATCATATCTTAACACTTAACTGGGGGTGTTCCGCTTTATATTTTAGTTTGGAAGACCATGGGCTTTAAATTACGAGTACTCTCAGATTTTTTTTGTGTCTTTCGTCTTTTGTTTTTTGTTTGTTTTTTTGATACTAAGTATACCGATTTGAAATGTCTAGCCCTACATGAGAAATGTGAAGCAATTCAAACGAGAAAATTAACGGTCTAATTTATACAATACAATTTATGAAAAACAAATATGACCAACATTCTTTATATGCCGGTCCCAAGTCAGGAGCCTGTAGTTCAGTGGTTGTCATTAGTTCATGTTTGTCATATTTGTTTTTCGTAAATTATTTTGCTATAGATTAGTCCGTTAGTTTTATCAATTGAATTGTTTCATACTTTTCATGTCGGGGCCGTTTATAGCCGACTATATGGTATAGGTTTTTTCCCATTGTTGAAGGCTGTACGTTTGCCTATATCTGCTTACATTCACTTCATTTGAACTATGGTGAATAGTTGTCTCATTGGCAATCATACAACATCTCTTTATTTTTATATCAACCAATGATAACCACTGAGTTATTCTCAAGAAAACTCAACTTGCTGGTTTTCAACCGAAATAAAATATTTAAAGTACTTAAACTTGATACAAAAAAATTACTAATACAGATAATAGTGTTTTTAAAAATAGTCTAATAAGATATTATAATCAGCAATCTGACTTACAACTACAAACAATCAAATCTGGAGCTGTGGACAGTAAACTGATGCTTTTCAGTAATATTTTTGTTCCAAATTTTGTTCCCTTCTATCTTCAAACCAATCTTACCAAAAATATAAAGAGTAAAATTACACAACTACGTATCAGTGATCATTGTTTAAATATAGAACGGGGTTGATATAATAAACCCAAAATTCCAAGAGAAGAACGTTTTTGCAAATTCTGCTCTAAAGTAGAGACAGAAGAACATTTTTTGATATCTTGTCATAAATATAAAGATATAAGGCAAACTTTTTTCCAATCTTATGGTTTAGATTTGAAAGATTCACATAATAATTATTTTTCAGTTTCTAAACTTTTAAATCCACAAAATATTATTGAATGTAATTATTTATACAAATTTATTAGAGATGCATTAAAAAATATATGTACAATTGTAAAATTATATACAACAAGTAAAACTTTGAAATGTTGTTTTTTATATTACCATATGATTTGTAATGGAGAACACTAATGTACTATTAGTTATCTTAATAAAGAATCTGAAATCTGAGTTACATGTTCGTCAATTATGTGGCAGGTTTAATTAAACATGCTTGTTTAATAAATTTATTAGGGAGATACACATCAAAGTAAAAAAATATATCTAAGGAATCACAAGAACTCTTAAAGGTGCGAGACCTCTGTGCATGCATCACACACCATGCGAGTCCACATGCACTCAGAAATATTGTGGAAGGACAATCAGTATACTGTAAACGTCTGTAGTCAACTTGCGTAAAAGATAAAAATCTAATTTACACCAAATTTTAAATTAGATATTCACATATGGCGACTGGCGAAATCAGCGATTTTATTAAAAGACAAAAGCATATCCCGGAAGCTTTCATAGATACGATATTAATCGTTTAAAATATCTTGTATAAATCTTTATCTTTCTGAGGTAGTATTACTAAGTTAAGCTACAAATATACGTTTGATCATCAAAATTTAATTCAATTTACACCGTAGAAAATTCCACAACGAAGCTTTATGTGGTTTTATTTTTTTTAAACTGAAAAGAGATTTAATCGAATAGTTAAAATAAAAATGAAGAGATTTAATTTATTTGTTTTCCTATTTTATTGTTCAAATTTCTAATCGTAATAATCACATTCGTAAACTCTTGATGTTTTTTATGTAATCTTTGCATCTATTTTACGCTGAATTCGTGTATTGCTCACACTATGGCATCATTGTGCACTGATTATTATAGTTTCCTGTTTATTGAAATATAACTGTCATCGCCATATGATTTTATTTATTAGTTTGTTTATCTTGCAATCGACGAATTATGATTACTTTTAGATAATACTAAAAGTCATTGAGACAACATTAATCTCCTATGTTTGTTTGAAAGCTCAACATCTTTCCTTTTGATGAGATCATATTAACTCCGTGAACAGATGCATTGTTGAAGTTTATTCACCCAGCTGGTTCGCCTCTCACAAATTGTTTAACACATAATCATGTTTAATGCAAGTAATGTCTATAATGAACTTATATATGCAAGGAAGTTATATTGTACAACCTGCCTTGGTATAATTATGTTTGTCTATTTTTCTTCATCTCTTGTTTGTGATTTATGTGTCCTTAATGGACCTTAATTTATTTAGAAAATAAACTGATTTGATATGATTAGTTGTAAAATATTTTAAGGCTTGTCGCAAGACTCTTAGAGAAAACAACATACTGAGTTCACTGACTTACCTTTTTAAAACAATGACGGTCACTGGGAGACCCCCTTCATTTTTTTTAAATGTTGTATTGCTCAACAATACAATGTAACTATTACTGAGATCTGACAACTTAAACGAACTTGAACATGATTTACATCCATTCTCACAAACTTCATGTCTTATTAAAGGAGAAGATTGCTATGTACAATAATATTCGCAACTAATCATGCACATGTGTGAACAATCTGTAATTTGGAGTACCGACATTGAATTTTCATTCCAAGCATTTAAGCTGTTAGCACACTTTATATATATTTTATAATTATCTTATCTAATTCGACCAATACGAATATATGTAAATGTGAAAGCAATCTTAAACATCATAAAACAAACAAAATGAGATCGAGATGGTCAGCGCACGATTTTTAGTTAGAGGCAAGAAAATAAAACCGATACTAGGAAGGCAACTATAAATCACAACTTAAAAGCGGATCATTAGAAAAAAGACCAGATAAAAAAAGTCCTCAAACAATTTTCAAATGTGTCATTTGTGACAGCAGTGACCCAATATATTTGGTATGTTAACGGCGTGAAAATAATAAAAATATATAGTCTCTCCCCCTCCCGTGTTTACAATTCAACTGTAAATTCCTTAATCATTGATGATTTTAAATAATTAGAATGACAATTTCTTCTTTAAGTCATACCACGACTTACGAAGTTGGGGTATACTGCTTTCTATTTACTTGATTGCTGATTTTTCCGTTTGTCGATTGTAACTGTCGTTACATTTACTCAGCTTTTGTTCTCAGAAATGATTTGATATTTGTGTCGCAACTTTATACTGTTGAGTTGTACCGTTTCAGCATTCTAAGATCAGCGATACAATTACTTCCTGTTAAAAGAGAGGTGAAAGATACCAAAGGGACATTCAAACACATAAGTCGAAAATGAACTGACAACGCCATGGCTAAAAAAGAAAGACAAATAGACAAACAATAGTACACAATACACAACATAGAAAACTAACGACTGAGCAACACGAACCCCACCAAAAACTAGAATGATCTCAGGTGCTTCGAAAGGGTAAGCATATTTGATAATATGAGTTGTACCGTGTGTGTCACTTTCGGTTGAACGATTAACTGTAAGTTATTACTCCCTTATGGTACCCCCGCTATAAGCATTTTGTAAACAAAATTTGATAAGCGAGGGTTATGAAAATTCATCACACAATATAGCATGCTAACATGAAGTTTGATGCCAAATTTCAGGAAGCTTTGATTCATATTGCTTGAGAAAAATGGGACGAAAATTGCATACCATTACGTGTAAGAATAAAATGCTCGGTCAACAGGAAGTCGATTAGCGATCGATGGATTTGAAAATGCATCACTTGATGAGAATGTTCACACAAAGCTTGCTACTACCTAAAATCAAAAAAACCCTTATTTGTATTTCCTGAGAAAGTTGTAACGAAAATTTCATTAGACAGACGGGCGGATGGTCGAACGGAAAGAGGCAAAATAGTATACTCCCTTCTTTGGGCGAGAGGTCAAATAATGAGTGAGAATACTTTACACGCCTAAATATCGTCCCCCGTCAATTATTAATTGGAATGAGTGTCGTAACATCATCCACGACTCACTCCGTTCTTACTGCTCTAAATGGATAAAACGAGAAAAGCTGACAAGAAATCATTAGATTCTTTTTTTATTCGGTAATGAACATAGTTGATATACGTATTCAACATTTTAAAGATAATTTTACTCCCAACAACAACCATAATAGCTCAATTTCTCGTATCAAACATAAGCTTAAAGAACTCGCCAAGGAATTTGTTTTTGTCCCGGCTGATAAGGCTGCTAACAATATCATTATTGTTTGACGTAAATTTAACATTGAGGTTCTACAAAAGGAAATTCACCAACATTCCAACTGACTCCATTTTTGGAAAATGACAATGTAACAAACATAAACTTTTAGCTACCTCTTTACAAGCAGAACCAAATACAATGAAAGTTCCAACTATGTACTGGCTTCCAAAGCTGCACAAAACTCCTTACAAATATAGATTTATTTCGTCTTCAAGCCATTGTTCCACTACTAAACTATTTATTCTACTTACTAGTACACTTGGTACAATCAAAAACCTGGTAATAAATTGTTCAAATAAGACCTTTGAAAATAGTGGAACTAATTACTTTTGGAGTGTCAAAAATTCGTTGGAAGTACTTGATAAATTGCATGCTTATATTGGTGATTTCAAATCTGTTCAAAGTTTTGATTTTTCTACCCTATATACCACTTTGCTTCATAATCGTATTAAGAAAAAATTCACACACCTGATTAAATGGGCATTTATAAAGGCGGAATGCGAATATATATGTTCTAACTCTTTTATGTCATTTTTTAGTAACAACAAACTAAAGAACTATGTCAATTGGACCTGCTGTGATACTATAACTGCCCTTGAATTTTTACTAGATAACATTTTTGTTCGCTAGGGAGATAACGTATATCGTCAGGTTATCGGAATTCCCATGGGGACTAATTGTGCACCACTTATTGCGGACCTGTTTCTGTATTGTTATGAGTTACAATTTATGACTAAAATCAGCAAAGACCCATCGAAACATCATCTGATTCAAAAAGGAGAAGGCCCAGTAAGACCCCTTTTTGGCCCCAAAATATAGCAGTTTTACAAAATTGTTAAAATGTAAATTTTTAGCTATTTATTGGAAAGAAGAATACTTCTGTTACTTAAATATGGGCTGTTTTTGACAATACAATGCACATGTATCGGGTACTAGCATCATTAAGTCATGCTAAATTACTGAAATCTTTGAAATTTTAGCATTTTGGTTAATTTTTAGACGGTTTCCGTCTAAAATGGAAGTGGCCGCATTTGTGTTCATTCTTAATATTTAAATGCAAGTTGTATTTGATGATAATACATAACATATATAAAGGTTGAGAATGAACACGGATGCGGCCACTTTCATTTTTGACAAAAACCATCTGAAAAGTGACATATTATGGCATACTTGATAGATTTTTCATATTTAAGCTTGAATTTGAGCGTCGTTAATGACTAAATCATTTCAAATCTTTCACATAAACTAATCGAAACGACTGAAGTAGACACTTAAGTGTTTAAAAAGTGTCCAAAATCTTTCATCAGATGAACCTGAATTTTGAGGCCAAAAACGGCCCTTACCGGGCCTACTCCTTTAACAACACTTTTAGATATTTAGATGATTTAGATGATATATTGGCTCTCAATAATGACGATTTCAGTGTGTACACTAAAGAGATTTATCCTGCCGAACTGACTTTAAATAAAGCTAATACTAACAATGAACACTGCCCTTTCCTAGATCTTGATATCTATATCTTTAACGGGAAGCTTAATACCAACACGTATGATAAAAGGGATGATTTTTCATTCCCTATTGTTAATAGTCCATTTTTAGATGGTGACGTTCCCTTGTCACT